CGGGACTGAGAGTAGGTTAGGGTTGATAACTTTATTTTTGTGTTGGGACTGAATGTGTGGCAAACAACAAATGCTATTCTTTGTCTCACTTAGTTTTCAGCTGGCTGGCAGGGTAGCAACCGGATCTTAGGGCCTGTTTTCATGGAAGCGGGGGATCCCGGGGAGGTGAGTACCTCACCTACCCGTGGTAAAGAAACACTTGTCGTCACATGCCACCCCGGGGACGCGGGGTGAGGTCCAAAATGCAATCACGCGGTCGTATGTAACTGTATGTAACGGTCGTATATATGTATGTAATGTATTCTTTAAGATATTTCAGTAACAGTTGAACACGTTCGGGAGTTCCTGCCCTGACTTTCGGCAGTTTTCGGTGTGCCCTCTTCGCAGATTTGTTCTGAGGAACGTTCGTTTGTTCCGATAAAGCTCCTTTTCGCTTCAATGTCGTTGTTGCAGGCAAAACTTCAGTTTGATTCCGCTGATTAGCCTGACTATCCGATTTCACGCTTAAATTATCGCCAGCACTGTCAATTCCATCAGTGTTTCGGCGGTGAAATCGTCCAAATAACTCGCCGCGCTGGTAGCGGTTGGCAGCCATGTTGTTCTGCCGTGTGTTTTGGCGGGCTTTGGCGCAGTAATTTAATTACCCCGGTTAGGCAGGGTACCCCACTCCGCAGCTTTCACATGGAGAAAACTCACCCAACCGAAGCGGGTTACCCGGACCGCCTGACCGGGTAACCCGCCTTGGTGGGGTACCCCACTTAATATGTGAACGCGATCAAGAAAACAAGAGAGATTGTATGAACAGATTGGTTACCCCACCAAGGCGGGGGATCTCACCTGCCCGAAGTCCCCCACTTCCATGTGAACAGGGCCTTAGATGCCTCCATTACGATCAGCACAATGTGTAAGAAACCCGAGTGGCAGTTTTTACCAATCCTAATTGTAGACGAGATCAACAGAAGATAACTAATTGGTAACTATACTACGACTATTAAGTCAGTTCCGATCATTCAAATGGGGAACAACACGCCAGTTGCTGAGTACTTAATACAGAAGGCCTGAGAGCAGCAACTTGATATGATATGAGCCTTGCCAAACAAAAGGCAAGGCTTGTCACCTCTTGGTGGGATGGTCGAAAAGCATGCGGCGTCTTGGGAACAGTGGTGAGGTTCTGTGCTTAGCGTATCTTCATCCTTATCTTGGAATTAACAACTGATTCACGCTTCGCCGGCGACTGTCTATGTATGCAGGAGTTTGAAGAGCGCGAATTAGGGCCTTGACTCTCAAGCTTCTCCACTGTTCTGCTAACTGCCAAGTGTATCCATAACTCGATAGAAGTACAGCTAACACAAGAACCCCTATTGCTGGTTTTCAGTGTCACGCCATTCAAAATAGATCAAAATAAAAATCAAAACC